TCTCTCTGCCTGGCAGCCCTCCTATCTCTCTCATGCCTAGCTATTAGCCATTCATCTCTTTATTAGACCAATCAGGTGTTTTAGACAAGCAAAGTAACACAGTTTTACAGAGTTAAACAAATGCAGCATGAAAGAATGTAGTACATCGTTACATCATTAAACAAATATTCTACTGCATACATGAATGTAACACATCTTAGAATAATATTCCACAACACCCTCTGGCTCCTACAATCCTTTCAGTCCTGATGGGGAAGCTCTGTTAACCAATCACACCCAGTTAAGGCGTGGCTATCTGGAACCAAGGAAGAAAAACTGAGAGGGACCAGGTGCATGCTCTCTGGGCGATTTCCACCAAACACAGAGCAAGTCGCACTCGCTATTCTTGGGGCGTTAGCTTCCCCTTATAACCATTAAAAATATAATTGTTATCTTTATGCTGGCCTGGTTATTTCCCGTATTTAGCTAATTCCCAATACTTGGCACCCGGTTCGTGAAGCCACTAGAGCCTCTGGCAGCTCTGGCCAGCATAGACTGGGCTTTCGGGAGGCTGAGGCAGAAAAGATTTTATTTATTTATTATGTATGCAGTGTTCTGCCTGCGTGTTTGCCTGCAAGCCAGAAGAGGGGACCAGATCTTATTATAGGTGATTGTGAGCCACAATGTGGTTGCTGGGAATTGAACTTAGGACCTCTGGAAGAGCAACCAGTGCTCTTAACCTCTGAACCACCTCTCCAGCCCCTGAGGAGCTCAGTCTTACTGCAACTTAATAGGCTATGTTTTGTTGATACTCATGGGAGACTCACCCTTTCCTAAACAAAAATGGAAGATGAGGGGACTGGGGGTAGGAACAGAAGTGGGTGGAGGTGGGGACTGGGAGGAGAGGAGGGAGATGAAACTGCAGTCAGGATGTAATATATGAGAAGCATAAATAAAATAAATAAATAAAAATTTTAGAAATATATATATATATGAAAGTAAAAGTTTCTACTATGCAATGTAAATTATCAATGATAATTTTGATTTTCAGTGAAACCTTTGTGCAGGAAGGAATCGATTAAATATGTTAAGAGGCAGCCAATAGAGTGGGAGAGGGTCTTTGGCAGCTATATATCTGACAGAAGATTGATATCCAGAACTTGCGAAGAATTAAAAACATAAACAAGAAAATAATCAATCCAATAAAAATGGGCTAATGAAATAAACCAACAGTTTGCAAAAGATGAACTACAAATGACTGAGAAACATAGGAAGAAGCATTTAACTTCACTAGCTATGGAAGAAGTGCACATCTAAGTTACGCTGAGATTCAGAAAGTCAGTGAATGAGAACCAACAACATATACTGTAAAGTGAGAATGCGGGTGTCTTGGTCGTTGTTCTACTACTGGGAAATGACAATGCAACTAAGACAACTCATATAAACAAGGAAGTATTTAATTGGGGGACTTACTTAAAGTTTCAGAGGTTTAGTCTGTTGTCTTAGTTAGGGTTTCTATTTCTGTGTAGCAACTCTTATAAAGGAAACATTTAATTGGAACTGACTTACAGTTTCAGAAGTTCAGTCCATTATAGTCTTGGCATTGTATAAGCTGGCATGGTGCTGGAGAAGGAGCTGATAGCTCTACATCCTGACCCACGGACAGCAGAAGCAACTGTGTGCCACATTGAGAACAGTTTGAACACAAAGACTGCCTCCATAGTGACACCCTTCCTCCACCAAGGCCACACCTACCTAACAAGGCCACACCTCCTAATAGTGCCACTCCCTATAGACCAAGCACTCAAATACATGAGTCTCTGGGGGCCATTCCTATTCAAACCACCATATTTACTATCATCATGGTAGGACGCATGGTGGCACACAAGGTGATGGAGCAGTAGATTAGCTAAGAACTCCATATTAATCTCAAGGCTGAGAGAGAGAGATGCTGGCCTGGTGTGGGTTTTTGAAACCTCAAAGACCAACCCCCAGTGACACCCTTCCTCCAACACGGCCACACCTCCCAATCCTTCTCAAATAGTGCCATTCCCTGTTGACTAATCATTCAAATATATAAGCCTATGGGACCATTCTTATGCAAACTACCACAGTGGGAAACAAAGAATCCTGTACACTGCTAGTGGGAAGATAAAAGAGTCCACTCTCAATGGAAACCAGTATGGAGGTGTCCCAAATACTAAAAATAAATCAACTATATGACCTAACTAAATCACTCCTGAGTATCACTCCTAAAGGACTCCAGATCAACACACCACAGAGACACTTGCACACGGATGTCAATTGCAGGATCACAATAGTCAAGTTATGTAAACAAGCTAGGTGCACAGCAGGGGAATGAATAAAGAAAATGTGGTATATGTACACAATGGGATGCTTGTCAGCCATAAAGAAGAATGGAATTATGTCATTCGCAGGGAGATGTTTACAGTTGAAGATTGTCATAGTAAGCAAATTCCCTATAGACACATGGAAGGGAAGAGGGAGGGTTAAGAAAAGGCAGTGTAGGGGTAGCAGGCATCAAAGAATATGTGTAATACACAGATATATTCAGGAGTTTTTTTTTAATTAATACAAAAAAAGAAATGTTTGCAGGAATAATCATGTCAAAGATTTTGATAGATCTGGTTTCGGGAAGCTGGGAAGTATTTTTGTTTATAAATTTCTTGAAAGAGCAGAGAATCTTTGGTTTTCATGGTGGGCAACTCATATCCTAAATAATAATTTATGCTAATAGATGACTTTTGGTAGGGGCAGATGTTACAGTTTGTGTGAATGGAATGATTCAGAATGAAACTGACTAACCAAAAGCATGAATCACAGGCTCTTAGCCAAGTTATAGACATCCAAATTGGAGGGAAGAGAAGGAGGAGGGAGACTATATTCAACAATGTCAATGATTCAGTCAACCTTGCCTGCCTAACAGAGTCTCAGAAAGAATGGTAAAGATGTGATATAGTGAGTTTTGGCTCTGGGTTCAATTTTCAGCACTGCCTAAATTGGGTGTGGTGGTGCATGTCTGTAATCCCAGCACACAGGAGGCTGAGACAAATTTCTCCTAGCAAAAGACAACAATAGTGTGGCTGCATCAGCTCCTACGGAATTCAGAACTCGGTTAAGGCATTCTTTGGGGATGCTGCTCCATTCTCAGTTTTGCTGGCCGGTGGAGACAAGTTTCCTCATTGCCCTTCTATGTCCCACCCCCTTTCTATGTTCCCTCAGCCCCCTTTGAGTAGTAGTGGTTAAATGAACTTGGGTTCAGTAATAGTTGGGGTCTACAAAGTTGTGACTGGTGGACAACATGCAGGAATTTGGGGGAGCATTCAGGAAAGTCGATTTCACTGTGGCAAGATGCTTAAGGCAGTAAAGTCAGCTTCAGTTTGTAAAGACATAAGCTGGTAATAATATTTGACTCTGAAGTTTTAGTGTATGTCAGATGAGATTTGATTGTCGAAGCTCTCTTTGTATGTATATTTATATGTATATTTATTTATTCTGTGTCTCCCTTAGTATGCTTATTGAGTCTGTTCCATTTTTACCTTCCACTACGTGTGTTTCAGGGTTGGCAGCTAGCCCCTTCACCCACTGGGCCATCTCACCAGCCTTGCAGAAATTTTTAAAAGTCAACTTTCAGAATTGTTTCATTAAGCAACATGAAATAAAAAAAGCATGTTTAGCATGGGAAGTGCAATTTTAAATGAGACTTCTTCAGGTCACTTATAAAATCTTGAAAGGAATACTTTATCACAACAAAACTAGCCATCAGAGGTCGAACACTCTAAGTTCTGGAGCTGATGCTGTGAGTTTGAATTTGAGTTCTCTGAGAATCACAACAGGATTGCATGCCATTCTGTGTGATGTGGGTCTTGAGACGCAGTGGGTGAGTACCCCACATATGCTTTTGCTGAACTTTCTCAGACACTTACAGGCAAGGTTTGTCCTTACCACCCAGTCAATTAAAATTGACAGATTTTTGCCAAACTTGTTATATTAACTGTTCTTGATGTAAGTGGTTCCCTGAATCACTGGGAATCTTCTAGGGGTTTGGAAAGTGTTTATTTTGCTGGTCCTGGCACCCCAATACCCCATACATAAAACACAGTAGTTTCTTGATAAATAATTTTTGAACTTTGTGTTGAATTTATCACTGAGTGATTATTTTCTTCATAGTCTGAGAGCAAGCAGACTGGATCTGTTTAAGAGAATACAAATCATCTCCCCCCTTTACATTACTTTAAGTGTACAACCATGAATATATTTGAAAGTAGAGAAGAGTAAGTCTATTTTCCTTAAAGTAAGCAACAGCCAATTAAGATAAAATTTTAGGTACAGTGACATTCAAAAATAATATTGTAAGATGGGTTGATTTAGAAATATAGTGAAAGGCATGTCCCTGGCCATTAATCATGATGTCCACGCTGCCTGTCTTTTCCACTCACAAACCAACTTAAGATTAGAATTTTAACATTTGCACCTCAATTTTTCATATTTCTTGTTTCTCTATCCAAAATTTTCCCTGAAAAATTTTTCCAGATCATTCATTAGCCACCTTAGGATTTCTCCTGGGCTGCATTGGCAACATTTGGGGCCCATCAAGAGCAAAGTAGGTCACGGGGCAGCCTACGGTTCTGCATGTGTGCAGCGCTCTTTTCAGCTTTGCCTTCAGTAGCCACCAGCCGTTATTGAACACAGCCTCATCACAAGACCTAACGTGAATACGATGACCAGTTCACGTTAAAATGCACTTTCAAAAGACACTCTACGCTGTCTCGTGGGAAGTGACATTCTGTAATTACCTCCTCCTATCAAAAGAAAAACAATTCCCAGAAATTAATGAATACAGCAAGACTCTACCTCCTATCTTAATTCTATCTTAATTGCAAAAGTGGATCAATTAAAAAAAAAGACTATGCTTGCAAAGACCGTCTCTTATGGTTTTGTCTCCCAGCTCCCTAGTCATCAGTTCAATGTATACAAGCATGAGATGAGTGAATTCTTACCTTTTGAGATGAGATAAACCAACTCCACCAGCAGTGCCCCTGTGAAACAGGCAAATCCATGAAACAGCGTCAAAAAATTCATGGAAGTTCCTCTGAAGGTGCTTGGAATGAATCTGTGTATTACCATGGAGACTGGGAGAACAAGAAGAGCATTTAGGACTCCACCTAAATCACTTATGTACACTATGTCCCAACGAATGCCTACCACGCATCAAATTTACCAATGAGCAAAATGTGTGGATGCGACTTTGTTAAGGTTAGTGCCCAGGTAGGTTATGATGCAATTTACGGTTAACTCCAAGGAATAAAATGTGACAGCATACAGCCTCATACAACTGCCAGGAGGATCTGATTGCCTGGCAGGTGAGTGCTGTAATGTCTTCACCAAATTTCACCCAATCTTAAATATTTCTGATGCATTTGTATCAAGGTGTGAGCTGTTCTGAATATCATTTCTGTCACGAGGTCTCTGCTTGAGATTTCATGGCCTATGGAAAACTTGAATTTATTGCGGAAAATTTGTGCAGGGATTCAGGAGATAAACAAGAATGATCTAAAACCTCCTGACAACCATTTATTAGTTCTTATGTGAGTTTATTAATCTAAGTGACCACATGTGAGTTTATTAATCTAAGTCTCAACATCTTCCTGTTTGAAATGGGAATATTATCATTACTCACAGACAGAGAGGTATGGTTATATCTGATGTACTACCTATAACATGCTGTGTTTATTGCTGCCTTACATGTGTTAAATAAGTCTAGGTACTTTTATTTATTTTTATTCTTTTTATTAATTCTGTGAGAATTTCATATAATGTGTTTTGATGATATTCATGCTCAACTTCCCCTCGTAACCCCTTCCAGATCTACCCCAATTATTTACCCACCCCTGCAGCATTCTATCTTCTTTTTGTTGTTGTTGTTGTTGTTGCTTAGTAACTCATGCAGTCCAGTTTGTGTGACCCACATCTCTTGCATGTGAAGCCATCTCTTGGAGCATTGTTGACCTACCAGGAGCCACACCCTTAAAGAAGACTGAGACTCCATTCCCTAGAAGTCATTCTCATTTACAGGTGGGGACTGAGACTTATGAATTTCTTCCTATTCGGTGATGTAAAGTTGACTGGCTTCATCTTTTGCAGGCACGCACAGCTGCTGTGGGATCATGAGAGTAGCGATCCTGTCATGTCTAGAAGATGCTTTCCCTCTGGTCCTCCCCAGCTTCTGGCTCTTATAATCTTTGCGGCTCCTCTTCAGCAGTGATCTCTGATCCTCGGGATGAGTGTGATGTAGATGTCTCATTTGTGACTGAGCAGACAACTGATTGGTGTTGTCCTGGGTACTTTGACCAGCTGTGAGTTTTTGTGTTAAGGTTAGCTATCTTAAACAGTATTTATCCTATCCGTGCAAGGCACTACACAAGACCCTTTGTATACAATTTGGTTAGCCCAATTGTCACCTTTGCACAGGCTAAAGTCATCTTAGAGAAAGAGGCTCCACTGAAGAATTGCCAAAACCAGGATAGCAGATGGGAACCACATGATTATTAATTGATATAGGAGGACTCTGCACACTGTAGAGGGGGGAACCATCTTTAACCACGTGGTTCTGAGCTGTGTAAAAAAGCTGGCAAGCCTAAACCAGCCAGGGAACGAGAAGTGTGGTGAGATTGCAAATAAAGCAAATAAAACTTGCTTGAAGATCAGAGTGCGGAGCTAGCCAATAGTTAACCACAGAGACCAGGCAGTGTGGTACACACCTTTAATCCGAGCGCTTGGGAGACAGAGGCAGATGGATTTCTGTGAGTTCAAAGCCACCCTGGGCTACATAAAATCAATCCAGACTAAAAGAGATTTGGAGTCAGGCAGTGGTGGCTCACATATTTAATCCTAGTACTTGAGAGTACATGTTTAATTCTAGCACTAGGGAGATAGAGACAGGAAAAGATTTGGCTGGACAGAAAGAGGAATATAACATTGGAGGAGGTAGGAGCTCACGGCATTCATTTGAGCATTCTGTCTGAGAATTCCTAGAGATAGAAACACCCATTTAGTGTGAAGATTCAGTAGAGGTAAGAACTAAGTAAGAACTGCTGACTTCTCTGCTTCTCTGATCTTTCAGCATCTATATCTGATTGGGGTTCTGATTACTAAAACCAATTAGAATTCAGACTACAGCAGGCAACATTCTTCCATGGTTATATGGTTTCTAATTTTCTTCTTTTCCTTTTGTGCTTTAAAAATTTTTCTAGCCGGGTGGTGGTGACACACGCCTTTAATTCCAGCACTCAGAGGCAAAGGCCAGCAGATCTCTGGGAGTTCGAGGCCAGCCTGGTCTACAAGAGCTGGTTCCAGGACAGGCTCCAAAGTTACAGAAAAAACCTGTCTTGACAAAAAAAAACCCAAACAATAACAACAACAACAACAAAGGCATTTAAAAGACAAGATCTCCTGAGTAAACTGGGAGTGTGGGAATCATGGGAGAGGGTAGAAGAGAAGTGGCAAGGAAGAAAGAGGAGAAGAGAAAAATATGTAGCTCAATAAAAACAATAAAAAAACACCGTGGAAAAATTTCTAACGTGAGTGTTGCTGCCTATAATAAAATAGTCCCACACTAGCTCAGAATGGAGTATAGTAAAACTTTATTTATTATTTAGGGGTAGACTCAGAGAAAAGGAGGTGATCAGCAGTTCTCTGCATGGGCGGGGAACTGGGATCAAATCCAGTAGCCAAAAGGGGCCACAATGGTTTTACATCTGCATACATAGTACATGTGACCACACCCAAAATGGACCAGTGTCTTAAAGGCTATTGGCTGAAGAACTGCCACCTCACTTCCCCATTTTGTTTAATCATGTGAGCTATTATTTATAGACAATTTACATTGGTGTAGATTCTTGTATATTGATATAAATTCAAATTATATTTATTATATTGAATACGCTCCTAGTTCTGTTAACAATATTTGTGTACCTATGCAAAGTTATTTTTTATAGTATATGCATATATGTTTCAACCTCTGCTTAAGATATTTTGTATATTGATGCAATTTTAAGATATATTTATCATATCGCACTATATATTCTTAACTCTGTTCAAGATATTTATACATTGTTTACATTTGAGGTCATTGTCCTCATTTGCTGTAGAGTTGTTTAAAGATTATTAATATTAATATTTTAATATGAAGTTTTAGCATTTAAGCTATATAGGTATTAAGAATTATAGGTCAATATTCATCCATGTTTGTCATACTTATAGTTAGACTAATCAGGTTCTTTAGATACATAGAGATTGTATTCCACATAGATAGGTAATCTTCAACCACTTGAAGAAACTGTAGAATATGACATTTAAATAACTTAGAATTTTGTTAAAGTGAGACACAATTGCTCCTGACAGTACTGATCTATTCCCGAGAGAATGTTGGACACCAAAGACACTCCACTTGTAGCTTGTTTTCTTCCTGGTAAGACTGGCCTTTGGACAAAGAGTTGCCCCTGCCTTGACCACTGACAAAATGCATGGTGTCCAGTCTGGCCAAACAGGATACAAGCAAAAAGACTGCCAAACTTTGACAAGGCCAGGTAATATGGTTTTAAAAATTTCCTGCCTCTGAAAATGGTCTGTCAGTTAGCCAAAGTTGGTTGCCCCAACATTGCAAATGAGACTTTGGGAGATGGCCCAGGTACCTGGTTGTCTCTGTCGTTTCTTGCACCTTTTGGAAGTTGCTTGATTGCATTTCCTGTTTACTCAAATAGTATTATTTCCCTTCTCAGGCCTTTTATGGGTTTGAAGATTAGCTAGTCATAGTTACTTTTCTTTCATGACTTAGCCAAACATTTCTAAAACAAGAGTTTGACACCTTAGGATAGATGATATTGAAACATATGCATATGTTTCTTGCTTGATGTTGTTCATGCTGGTTGTAATTCTAATTTTTATACTTGATATTTGTTCTTATTGTATATAGTTTTGCATTAGGCTTACAACTCTTTTATTTAGACAAAAGGGGGGTGCAGTGAGAGCTCCTTTACCAATGACCTTTAAGATACTGGCCCACTTTGGGCATGGTCACATGTACTATATATGCAGATGTAAAAGCATGTGTGGCCCCTTTTGGCTGCTGGATTCGATCCCAGTTCCCCGCCCATGCAGAGGACTGCTGATCACCACCTTTTCTGTGAGTCTACCTCTAAATAATAAATAAAGCTTTACTATACTCCATTCTGAGTTAGTGTGGGGTTATTGTATTATAAACAGCAAAAAAATGAGATCATAAGTTGATATTAAGACTCAGTTTTAAAAAGAAGAGATAATAGAAAATGGTTGAACTTGAAGCACTGAACATTTTGTTGTCTTGTCTATAAGAGTAGAGGCATGTTTTTATTACCTCTTTTGTCTCTTGGGGATTGGTCAGACCTGACTTACTTGTATTTCCTCTAGAAAAGCTCTGTCTCTGCCCACAGCATCCCCTGACTATGTTTTTATCATTAATTATATCAATTTCCGGGATTGCGCTCCTTCGCGTGCTCTAAATTGCTTCTCGTCAAACATAATACACACATTTTCAGCTGTTGAAGAATAACTGGAGTGAAAAACAAAGAATCCCAGCATTGAATTCCCCATCACAGGTGCCTTAGGAAGGTGGTTATGTCTCCATATGCTGCAGACTCGGCACACACTGCGGGTGCCATCCTCACAAACCATCGCCTGCTGCTCTCTGGAGGTGCATTTTAGCACTCGTTGGCAAGAAGACCGGTTCTCATAGACACTTGGAATTTTTTTTTACTGAGTCTCCATAGTGTAGTGGTTATTTTAGAGTAGTGACTGACTTGTTGATAATATCTGCGCCATAATGGGCTACAAGAAGCATCTTGGAGCCTGGAAGCAGAAACTGATGATCACTAAAGTTGAACAAGATCAGAACATGCAATTAGGCCCCCGAGATTTGGAGATCTGAAGGCTTGAAAAGCGAAGTCCTATAAAAGGGAACTGGAGGCTTTGGAAAAATGGCTAAAATGACACCAAAGGAAGATTAACCAGCAGGCAGATAGCTGGCAGAGTGTATTCATGAATTATGCACTGCACCAGAAGTTCTAGCAAGAGAAAAGCATGGGATTAATAATTA